GTCCCCAGAAGGGTATCTCACCCGGACATACCAAAATCTAGCACACGCGAAGAGACAACCATACCCTGGGAAGACACACTCGGGCGATACCAGAGCTATAAGATCATAGATGTCACCAGCCACTCCCTAACAGAAGCATACCACACAGCCAGGCGAAGGCTATGAAAACTGCGTCATCACTCAAGGTAACACTCAGGTTGTTGCGAACACCAAACTCCGACACAAGGACCAACGAAGCGAAGCAATACCAAAGTGAGAGAAGACCCACCAAGGAACATGAAAGGATGATTGTAAGGACAAATCAAGGGGACATGCGGTGCAAGAGTCCTAAACGGGGGCGTATCTCCCAAATCTGACGCACTCATAGACCACGTCACCATCCTTGAGCAAAGGGAGAGCGTCGAATGAAACATACTCAAAGAAGGTGTGACATACGTCAAAACTCAAGATAACGCTGAACTCGAACCTCAACATCTTAATGTGCAAACATAACTTGGTTCTAGATGCCACAAGATGAACTAGGTCGCGACTCAATAGATCCCTCGGAACAATTAGTTGGAACTTAGCTTACACTGAACCTTCACATGGATTTGTGAATACATCAACTAGGTTATAAAGTACCAAAATTCAACCTTAAAACTTAACAAAAAAATCATGTTCGGAAGGTCAAAGCTCACGGGTAAGTAGAATACCCTAATTTCTTAATCAGAACTTATGAAGTGCTTAACTAGTTTAAGTACTTATCAAACTCAAATTAATTAAATCATACTATGATTTAATTACAAGTTGGAACTAATATCTACAATTCATAATTTGATTTATGAGCCAAAAATAATACAAGGATTGTCTAATCCTACATTCATATGTTATGAACCTTTATTTTATTTATTTGAAATATAAAAATTCGATTTTATAAAAATCAAATTATAATTTAGCATTTTTATAACTTAGTTCAAGATAATACAAGTTTATGAACTTATTTCTAAAAACAAAATACTTAAATAAAAACCAAGAAATAAACTCTTGGGAGTTAATAAAAATACCTAGAATTTTTATATATACTAAAGACCATTTTGTAAAAATTGTAAAGAAGCAATATTTAAAAAGATTACAACTTTCTAAGAAGCCTTTAATCCTTTTATCCTCCCAAAATTCGTTCATAGGCTCTCTCTCTCCCCCCCCCTCTCTCTCTCTCTCTCACTCACTCACTCATTATACCTTGTGTCTTTATGCAAAATCATGAGGTCAGATTTTGCATGTCATTGTGAGAGATCAAAGCCGATCTTAGAAGCAACTTATGTGGGAGATATTTTTCCAGTTCATTTTTCATATGTTAACTCACGTTTCTGGAGTTTTGTGGTATATTTTGGTGGAGTATAACCCAAAGAGATGACGAGAGACATAGCCTATACAGAGAGACAAAATCCCACTTTCTCTCATTCTTTTCTCTAAAAACACTATCTACTTCTCTCAACTTTTTCCACCAAAAATCAGCTTTCAAAACACAAAAATAATGAGATATTTGGGTGTTTTTGATGCCTCAAAATCGAAGTCAAGGTAAGAGACTCCACTCTCTCCATCATTCTCTTCATCCTGATGCAAGTTTTAGCTTGTTTTCACTTCAATTTTGGACTTTATGCCCTTTAAAGGCTAGAATCTTTCCTTTCATATTGATGTTCATAGATTTTCACCATCACATATTTCTTGTGTTAAAAATGGTGATAATCCATGATCAAACCAATGTTAAGATCAAAGATTAGCCCATGCATGCTCTTACAACTTCAAAAATTGGATTCTACTCCTTCATTTTCTTCAAAATTCGTCTTCTTATGGTTGAAATGGGTTTTAGAACATCATAGATGTGTTTTGACCCCATGAATGTGTGAAAAATAAGGTTTCATGTTCATGATCTAAGCACAAAATTGGTTTTCAAGTTAAGAACATCAAACTCATTTTTAAGAGTTCTTGAGAACAAAGATTTTGTACTTGAATGCATGTGTGTATATCTTAAAAATCACTTTTTCTCTGGAAACATGACTATAACATTCATGAATCTTGATATCTTTAAAATATTTTAAAATATTTTCTCAAAGTAATGATTAAAGCTCACTTTTCTAACCCATTAGCATGCATGCATTCTGTCAGAATATTTTGTTCTGCTTTGGACAGCCATATCTCACTCATTACTCCACCAAATCAAGATATTCGTTTTTTGAGGACTAGTTCCCTGAGTTAACTTTCGAACCTAAGTGACCTTACTATAAAAAATTAAGAATTTGATTTTTGGAGATTTTTACAAAACAGTTGCGCAAACAACACTTTTTCTGTGGTCACTAGTTTTGCATTACATGATCAAAGGTCTTAAATCCCACAATAAATCTGGGGAAATATATTTTAGAAACTTAACTCATCCATCACAGAAAGCCTAAATTTTCATGAATTAAAACCCCATATAAGTTTCTACACAATTTCTCGAACTTCCAGTTACATTTGGAACTCATGCACTAGTTAGCGTTACATTTCAAAACTTGTTGGGGTTGAATACCCCCATTTAGCTCCAAATGAATTCTGAACCAATTTCCTTTATGAAACCTCATGTTTTATTTCCAGATTTAGGAACATTATTAGAACATGTAAAAATTAATCTGTGAATTTTTGCAACTCTTTACTATTTATTTCAAGTTTTTCCTATTATTTAGGCTTAAATTGAAAATAAATATCAAACGACCTTCAAAAATTACTATAAAATTTCTAGGCACTCATACCCTCTGATAGAACCAGAAGATAAATGTTTATAATTTTTGGAGTTCATTTTCATGCCCTTATGGATTTTTGAACTTAAGGCACCGTAAATTCAACATTTACCGATAATGAACATAACAAACTTTGAGCACTTTGTAATACCACTAGTTGGCTAAATAGTTACTGGATTATGGCTAGTGAACAATGACTTGCTAGAAACTTATTGTTCCGTAGGACGCTAGTAGGGATCAACCCCTACGACCTCAAATCGCGACACACAAACCGTGAACCTTCTCTTGTGAGTATTCACGACCCTTTTTTTTTACCGTTTTCATGTTTTGTGGTGGAAAGCATGCTATTATCTTATGAACTATCAGTACTATTTTATAAACTTGCTAAACTTTGTTTTGTGAACTTGTGAGTCTTGTTTTATGAACTTATTGAACTTGGAACGATATTGCTTTATGAACTTATTGAATTTGGAATGATATTGTTTTATGAAGTTATTGAACTTGGAACGATATTGTTTATGAACTTATTGAACTTGGAATGATATTCTTTTATAAACTTTGTGTCATGAACTTGTGCTATGAACTTTTGATATGAACTTTGTGATATGAACTCTATGTTATGAACTTTGTATGATAAGTCCCCGAGAACCGAACTACAACCTATTAACTCGTATTCGAGCCGAACGTCTTATGGATAGTGCTATTTGGGGTAAACGACCCCCACTCGCCGAGAACCGCAAGTGCATATTTTCGTGAACTGACATCATGGGAACCATGGACATGATGTAATGGGGCAAGAACGGTCGTTAGGCTTGGTTGTGAACATAGTGTTTTGGCATTCAACACTCATTTTGAGTTGAAACTTTTGTTGAACAAATCTATGTTTTCTTACTAAAATGATGTACCTTTATAAACCTGTGAACTCACAAACTATTTTATAGTTGACCCTCGTTTTTGAATGCTTTTCAGGGAACGATCAATGATCTAAATTAGACGTCAACATGAATTTGCACTTGAAGTTTCTTTTGTTATGTATTAGACTTTGTAGTTTGGAACTAAATTTATTTCTTTTATGTGATGTAAACTTAAAAACGCTTAATGATTATGGTTGGTACTCCTATTTCCCTTGTGCTAAGAGACCTTAAACTATCACCCTTCGTATTTCCACTTTGATGGGGTGTGACAGAAGGGGCAATGTGATCAAACTCCGAATGGATAATCACACCCCAGAAAAACAATACAAGGGATAGGAATTGACTTACACAACGAGTCACCCCTTGTTTATTATTAAAAAAAAACATAGACCTCCCTAGAGAGGAAACCGTCATTAACGAAATTATGACAATTACGTTTTCACAAAAAATGTATATATATCGCTAAAATATTTGTACTTGAGCTCGACACCACCCACAAGAGGTTGCACACGTTTACCAAACGACAACAAGGACTGATCATCCACGTTGTTTGAGTGAAATCGTTGTAAGAATGTAACCATAGGCTCCAAAGGCTCATAGCCTTTTCCTAAAAACACGTCAGTAAAATCGAAAGAGCCACATCTCCTGACCATGACAAGTAGAGGCCTAAAAGGATCATAACCTTTCCCTAGAAATATAAAATACCTAAGCCCTAAGGCCTTAAGTTGAAGATCTCGGCGTGGCTTAGATGGCTAGGGTCGGGGTACCATCTTCCTCGACTCAGGACTTAGAACAAAGTCCCAAAAGGGCAGCGAGGACAACCTTTAGCTAAAAAAGGGGTGCCCTAACAAAACGAACCTGCTAGAGTTCATAACCAAAGGCCAACTAGGGCCTTGAACCTACAAGGATAGAATAAAAACACTAAAAAGGGATGAACACTAATCCCACCAGAGCGAGCTCCTAGGCCTAAGCCAAGAAATGTGATCCAGGCCTAGCAAATCTACCAAAAAACAGGAATCACAACCAATGCCCCTCCAATATGAAACCAAAAAGCATGGCTTCCCCAAAGGCCAACATCAACCTACGAGACGAATCCAAACATAGGGTGGCCAACACAAACCACCAGGAACGAAAAGACAACATGATAAACTAAAGAGAGCTATAACATTAAAAAGTAGGGAAGTTAAAATTGTTTGTCGGACAGCCCTCGGACTTAGAAATGCCACGCAGGGCCCAACACGAATACAGATACTGTCCAATAACATTGTCTCTTAAAAATCGGGCAAATCTAAATAATGTTTCAAACAACAAACAACTGAGAAGAGGTTAAAAGTCACATACCAGGGGGAGTGGAAGAGGGTTGAGCCCCAGAAGTGCTGGCCTCAAGATGTTTCCCTTCGACGTCTGAATCGCTGCACAGCTGACGAAGACCCTCTATGTCAAGCTCACCAAGATGGAGGCATGAGGCAAAGTCAGTCTCCACGAAATACTTCACCTCTGCATGCATCGCTTGAGTGTTCTCCAAAAGGGCATTCGGCTCACCGGGCACGAATCTCCCGATGGTAATTTGCTCCCTAACCACCTGCTTACCACCCTCAACCTCGACAACCATGCATGTTGCCATCATAAGCCTTACACCCAGGGAAAAGTCGGGACTCTCCACCACCATGTCAACCACTCGGACAATACTCTCCTAAAGCAGCCACTTCAGGTCATGATCCACAACCTTTCTCCTCATGCTTTCCTCCTCCAGTTTCCTGTTAAGATCCTCCACTTGACCCTCTAGCACCCTCCTCACCTCCACCAAGACTTCGATTCGCTGAGAAAAACGTTCCACCGACCCATCCAAAGCCACCACCCTCTCCTCCAAAAGATGCATTCTTCCTTACCAAAAGGTTATAACGCTCATCAAACCTGCGTTTCTCCTCCTCCAAACCTAGCAGCTTCGCCCTCAGCTCATATTGATCGACCCTTACGGAGGCGATCTCTCCGGAGTCCAAACCAACCTGGCGAAGACTGTTGGATTAATGTCTAAGTCCATAACTATATTTGGTATGTACTTGACCCGACCCGGCATGGTCCATTTGGGTTGAACTTCACCGACACAATTTATATGGATAGTCTTTTGAGAATAGTATATTTATGATTTATATTAATATATTATAAGTTCTAATATATTAATATGGAATCATATTATTTAATTAGTATTGATCAAGAATTAATTTAGAATTAATTAAGTGATCAAAAAGAACTAATTAAAATATGGACTCTTATATATATGGAATGGGCCAAGTTCATTTAGGTTGGGCTAAGCTTTCATGGATGGTCCATGGAGCTTTTAACCCATGGATCCTATGTAAATGAAAGGTCATGGGTATTAGGGTTTACATGGATGTAACCCTAATCCTCCATAATATATAAAGGGGTCCTTGGCTCACAAAATTGGCACAAGTGTGTGAAAATAAGAGTGGGCCGATTTTAGTGTGCATACATATTCTCTCAAGTTCTTCCAAGGTGTTTTGGTGATTTGTGATTCCATTTGAGGCTTCCACACTATTGGGGCTAAGCTCTTAAAGCTTGAAGACATCAAGCTACATCAAAAGGTATGTCATCTAACTAGAACTTTATAGTATAGGTGCTTCATAATATGCTAGTTAGGATGAAAACCTTGGAATAGTTAATATTTGCATGTATAATAGAGAAAACATAGATCCAAGGTTTATAGGGTTGCATGTACACCATAGGAGTGTTAGAATGCTCAAAACCCAACAGTGGTATCAGAGCCATGGGTTGTTTTCTGTTATATTGATGCAAATGTTTTATTTTCAAGTTGAAAAAAAAAGGAAAAAAAAACATGACGTTTGTCAAATTTTAAGATAATTACTTGTTTTGTGAAAAACGAATTATTTGTAAAATTTGAATCATTTGTTATATGAGTTGAATTAGGTCAAATTTAGTAAAAGATAAAATGATATGATTATTTTATTAGTTTTAAAAGTTTGATCTAAATGTTTTAAGGAGTTACATATTTTGTCATAAAATTTTGGAGCTCAAAAGTTTTTTTTTAAAGTTGTGATCTTAAGGGTTTTTGAAACTTCCATAAGTTATGGAACATGGAAAATTTTATCATAAAACACCATAATTCCATAAGTTATGGAATCCCAAGGTTTTCAAGAATTACAAAACTTGCCCTCTAGTTTTTGGAATTTGAGAAAAGTTTTTTATGAAAAAAAGAATTGAATTCTAAACCTCTTGGGTTCATAACTTAAACAATTAATAATGGTTTAATTTTGAGTGTTTAATAATTGGAATTATGATGTTTTTGTTGAATAGTTCAAATTAACTCTTATGGACTTTATTAATAGTTAATTAAAGCGTTTAATTAAAGAGTATTATTAAATCCATTAAAATATATGGTTTGAGTTTAATAAATAAAGTCTAGTTTAATTAATAGATTAAACCACCAAGTATTTTAAATGTCTAACATACCCCTTATACTATTATAATATTAAAGTTTAATATATTATATGTAAGAGCAAGTCGTCTTACCATTAGTAGGCCTCATTCACGAAGCGGTCTATAAGGGGGGTAGGGTATAGGTTACTGCCTATAAATGGCAGTTTAATGGGTTGTCACTCTCACTCACCGCTTCCTTGACCGGTGGAGGGTCGTTAGCCGAAATAGGTAGGACAAGGACTATAATTCTCCCTTTATAAGTATAATGATAAATACTAAGTAACTAAACACTTATAAATTCCCAATCTTAGTTACATAGGAAAATGTGAATAAGGTGCTAATCCATGAAATTACACTTTGCACTTTGTTTAAGTTGTTAGTGGAGTGTGTGTGGTTAACCGACACACTAACCTGGACTTAACAAGGTAGGCAAAGGGTAACTTAATGTTTATCATAGTATCGTTGGAGCGTGTGTGGTTAACCGGCACATCGATTGAGGGGTAAATATTAAGGGTACCAAGTATATTTGCATGGTTACTTCACACCTTGGTTTGTGATCCTCGGCATCCCGGTCACAAAACCTGGAGGGCACACTCGAGATTGAAACATGCCATTGAAAAGTTCAATGAATCTCAAAAGAATCTAGGAGTTTTTCAAAAACCAATTAAAACCTAATAATACATTTCGTTTATCTTGGTGGAAATTGGTGAATCGTCAGTCACCTACCTTCAAATATTTTATAGCTTGGATTACGGGCATCCCTCTTCAAGTTATAAAATAGGGTTTGGGTCCTAGCCTTAATATATCATATTGGGTGTTATATTAGGACTAAAATCAACTTTAGTGAATTTCTCCCATGTTGATGTCTGTTTAGACAACAATGATATTCCCAAACCAAGCTTTCCTAATGAATATGACTTCCCGAGTTTGCTCATGGAAGTCATCACTTCTCTTCTCCACCTCCTCCAATTATTCTCCCTAACCCACAAGTTCAAGGGTCACTCAAGCCCTAATGACAAGCAAGGTCTATGTGTGATCACATCTTAGAGATGAAGTCAATATTGACAAGCGGGAGAGTTGGGTGTCAAAAGTTTGAGAAAGTTGGATGTTCAATCACTTTCTAAGTCACATGTGAGTTCCTTTGGGACTATATGAAACAAGACTATGACAAGAACCTTATGATCATATCTTTTGCTTGGTGCTGCTGAAATCAGCATGATTTGGAACGATAGTAAAGCAATTTGATTAGAAGAGAAATTGCCTAAAAAACTTTATGGACAGTTGACAATGGTTGACACTCGAAATCTAGAAACAACATTCTCTTCCCAATGGAAAGGGATTGGCCATAGTCAACCGGTTGACCAAATGGTAACGAGAAAGGCTAGTCTGAGATGGTCCCATTACCAAAGGGTCCATATGTTTATTTTGCCAAAGGAAGGGGCGTTGATTGCAAAAGCTTGCCAAATTTACCTACGGATGTTAAAGTCAATAAGTTTGACTCTACATAGGTAGAGCCCATTATCTACTCTGTTACGTTCTATTCTGAGATCCTCATTACCATGCTGTGACTGGGTCACCTGTTGATGTTTTAAGAATCAAAGAATAGAGGAAATCTTAAAGGAAGTATATGCTGATTCTGATCGCGAAGGTGGATTTCGATCGCATCAGAATTTTGAGCAGTTGCTTAAGAAGTTATGATATATTGCTAAGGAATAGATAACAAAATTTTCCATGTGGATTGTAAGGATAAGTTTTTCCGCAAAGTTTTAAAATAAAAGAAAATTGTTTAATTTTATTTATTTGAAGTATCCTTACAATGGCATTTGTGGAAAATTGTTGCTTATATGATTCCACTGACAGCAATATTGGAAAATGGATTTGATTCTTTCATTTGTGGTAGTGTCTAAATTTACCAAATCAGGAAAGTTCCTCATCACCCAAGTTTCAATTGGACCGAAACTTGGAATCATGCAAGTTGAATAGTATGATGAATGAGAACTTTCAAGCATTGGAAAATCAAGACTAATTACTTGTTCACATGGATGTGTGAGTCAAGTGAAGGACTAAAGGGATCGAGTACACATTCTTGTGCACTGGTCATGTCCACCACAAAGCTCGTTAAGACTATTTGATTTACTAAAGTTTAGTAAATATGGTTATACTTACAAGTTTAAGTATAATTCTGAAACATTGGAAAAGTCTCAATGTATGGCAGAACGAATGGGAAGAATCAAATTAGGCAGAAAGATAAAAGTTTCTCAAATCTGAAAAGATGGGAGAGTACTTTAGTATCATGTTTGTGATCATCTTAATGATTTAGAAATCATATCACAATTAGTCCTCTAAAGGTCATCTTAGTGCATTCTTATGACTAAGAAGAGGAGTCATGAATTGTTGAAATGGTTAGATCAGGAAGATGAGTCATACTTCGTTCCAAAACAATTCTTAGAGTCATACTCCAAGATTGTAACTTGAGTGACATATCTTAAAGAAAGGTTTAAAACACTTGTCAAATGTAAGAGTAAAAGTGTCCTACTCTTGTACATTTGAAATTGGTAAGTTGTGATGTTTTGGATAAAACAAAGACCAACTAAGGCCAATTGTGTGAAGTGTTTGTCTTGATAAAGAATCCGCACTATCTCTTGAATATTTGGCAAGATAGTCTTATATGTCAAGAGGATAGTGGGAGTCTTAAAGATCCTAAAAAGAATTTCAAGAACTAATCAAGAATAAAACCTGAGGTTCTTCACTAGCACACGACTTGAGGTTTATAACCTATCGTGTTGACATATTCTGTGCCCATTCCAGTTAAAGTTGGCTTTGCATAGGAGTTCTGAAAGTTCTCAATTGGTTGCATAACAACTTGGAAGCAATGGCAGGCCCTGTACTGCCAGGTGGCAAGAAGTTAAGATTGCATAAGTTCAGTCCATATGAGTTTGGATTTGTCATTATCCTTGTCTTGTGACTATGGTTTTGACGATTCACATGGATAAGAACACATACACCATAAAATCTAAGGGTCATAAGGTTTCTCTCCGATTCATGAAAATGATGGTGAGGAAACACTTCCACCAAGTAGATTTGAAGCAGATGGCAAAAGGTCTAAAAATTGAGACTATGATTACGGCATCCCTTTTCATAGTTCTGAAATTGTTT